ATTATACATTAAAACGGTCACATAGTTTTTAATTTATTATAAAATCAATGAAGTTATTATCTACTCTCATTAAGTTTGAAATCGTTGATCTACTCTCATTAAGTTTGAACCCTATGCAAGGCAACTATAGATCTGAGAAACGAGACCTCAAGTTATTGTTAGCTTGAAAATTTTATTTGAAATGGTAAGGAGAGATTGAGTCAGATTTCATAAGCTGAAAAATGAATAACACATCCGCAACATCGCGTATTTTGTTAATTGTATATAGGTAAGTCAATTAATTTGAGTCTGTGATCATAAGGAGAAAGGATGATAATGTCTTCTAAAGGAAGCAGTCTTAGTATCTACAAATCTTAAGAAATTTTTTTTTATAGACTCAATTCGGTTGTAGATTGTAGATTGCAGAATTGGGTGGTGATGCACCGCGACCTAAAAGATCTATTGTTTTCCCACAACGAGCGCTCAGTGTTCTGCCTAGAGCATTCCCTCGAGACCCACATTTCTGATCAATCCGAGCGAGTTTTCCGTAAGAATGACCCACAACGGCTTGCCCACCATCCAGGGCCTTTCCAAACTGGCCCTTCTCTTATGGGCCAACGCTCAAAACTCACTGAGAAAATGCACCGATGTCTCCGTCCCGTCACATGGTTCCGTTATTATCTTAATTTTAATATGACTTTAAATAAAATCTAGTTTGATATTTGAACATTATTAGTAAAAATGCTGCTCCACTTTCTAAAAAACTTATGGATAATTTGCCTCAAGAAAATAATAATCCCCAATCTGTTTATAATACTCACCACCAGTGTAAAAATAACATTAAATAAATAATTTTGAAAATGATCAAATGATTTATTTTTCGAAAAATACAAATGTAAAGTTATAAAAATCAAATGGAAATCGGATTAAATGTCTAAATAATGGTGTTGTCATACTACAAAAATAAATTTTTTCAAAATAAATCCTAAAATTATGCAAATATCTTTATTGCGTCTATTCATGTACTAATTTTCATTATTATGATCTTATGTTTTCTTTATTTTTTTTCAAATAAAAATTTATTGATCAATAATTTTATAAAAAAATAAAAAATCTTTTTTTCTTTCACTTCTACATTTTCTTCTATGTTTTCATGTTTAAATTGGAATTTTATCAAAAAAAAAATTTGGTGGATTTTATCACTTTTATTAACCCATTTTTATTTTATATAAATATATGCATAAATGTACAACAAGAAAAAGATTAAGTTAAGAAAATAAATTACTTCTGTAAATAGTCAATCATTTGTAATTTAATAAAGTAGTAGACAAAATCTTAATAAATATTTCCATTTATTTTTTAAGTTTATCGAAAACTTTTAAGAACACATCGATCATTTTATTGTCCCTCTATACTTTAAAGATAAAAGCATTTACAAATGCTATTATAATAAATATTGTGTACAAATTTATGGTCAGCTTTAGTACTATAAGTCAAAAGTCTAACAATGGTAATGTGTCATAAATTACGATTGTGTTAGAAGTATCAAAGAGGCTTTTAAAAGAAAAAAATAAAATGAACTAAGAGGTCACGTTTTTTAATGAAAAAACACGTTAACTTAAAAGTTACTATAGATAGCACCATATGAAATTAATAAAAATCTCCCAAATTTATTTGTAATGTTTTTAATAAATAATTATACTTACACAGTCAATGAAGTGTAGACTCTACGATATATGAGTAGTTTTCAATGTGTGTTAAAATGCCAGTTAATATTATTCTAGTGTGTAATCTACTCTCTAATTTCCTGTATTATGCTTTTATCATTATAGATACCACTAATTTTAAAATATAAACATAAAAAAAAAATAAAAATAAATAAAAATATATTCGAAATTATAGAAAAATCAAAAAAAATGTTTGACCTCCGGGCAGTAGTTTTTATGTTCCAATAATAGTGATATTGTGTGGCACATCAAATCTATAAGTTGTTCACGCCACGCAACGGACAAATAATGCAAACCAACATGAAATGTATGTTGTGGAACAACATGAAATGTATGAAAAAAATGGCTGCCAATGCAAGATTCACGTCGCATAAGCGATCTCATATCTCTCTGCCGAAATTGTATGAAACTAGAAGTTTTAACAGAGAAAACCTGCAAGAGGGCTGGTTCACAAACAATGACTTCAGAATTTTTTATGCCTAGATGGAACGAAATGGTGACTCACGTCTTATTCTCATATCCGAACGCGAACGTGGGGCAAAGACTACATGGATCTTACTTCTTAATCCAAATCGACATAATTCGGAGGGGCTTTCAATAACAAGATATCTTAAAATATTATCTTATATATTATTAGCAAACAATATAGAAACTTACCTATAGACAATGATTTTCCTTCTAATATAATAATCGAATGGCTAACATATTTCCTATGTAAATATCTAAACGACAAACGCAAAATGTTTTAAGAATTTAAAAATTGATTGATTGCTGTCGTACTAGAGGTACATACCTTTCATTTACTTATACATATGGAAACTTTGTAAGCGGTGATTCAATATCAAAATTTTGTCAATTGTTGCTTTAAATATTTTTTGTTTGGTGTTTTTATTTTATTTTCATTTGTTTGTTATTTTATATCTCGCGGTGGTGAATTAATTTTTTCTCTGCTTTTATAATATATTTGTTTGGAAATATTTTAACTTAAAAGGTTGTTTTACCAGAAAGTTGAGACCTTGATAGAGAAAATTTTCTTCTTAAGACGTTTGTTGCAAATTCTGTAGGAGATTTTTTGAACTCCTCCTAAGTCTTAGAGTTTTTGCTGCTTGTCATCATGCTAGATGAAAGGTCGGCTGGCCAAATATGTTATGCAGTTGTAGCAGTATTACTGACAACGCATTATATAAATACTGGGACTGGCGTCAAATTTCTTGTGTGAACACGCTTTGCAGCACCATTAAATTCTGCATACCTATAAGGGTATGTGTCGATCTTATTGGACTTATAAAAATTTGGCAGATCTCTAGCTTAGATCAAGGTTAGTGTTTATCTGATTTGACCAAAGATTTTCTAAGAGGCGGGTCTAGAGAACAATGCGGTCTTCACGGCTAGAATGAGTCCGTCGGGGTTGGTCCTATTAAATTTGAATTAAATGCAATCCAATATAACATTAGTTATACTACACTTTCACTACACCTTGTATTCCATCGTAAAATTATACAACATATTTACATCTATGTAAATAAAAATGATTTTAAGATATGAAAATTTGAACTGTAAGCGCGCGGCAAGATAAGGGTGTGCCACTTTTACTTAAATATTTATATGCTATCATTTTTATAAGTTTTTTTTTATCTTTTTTATATTTCATGCTTTTGTTTTGCCGTATAGAAAAAGCTTAATTAAAGCCGGTGAACGCATAATTTTTATAGACGTCAAAATAATTTTTTTTTTTGGTTTTAAGAGTGTACATAGTCATACACACACATGCATATAATTTATAAAAAACAATTTATTATTTCAACAAACTGATTTTTTCATAAGCTAAATCATAAATCTTTTACAGCATTCGAAATTGTTTTATAACCATCGCATACACTTCTATACAATTTGTCTAATTCAAGATAATGATGATGAGAAATTTCTTTTCATATAATGTAATATTGCACGTATGTGTACGTATGCGTTAATGTTTACAGACACAAAGGCATAGCATCATCAGCTAAAGGAAAAACTACCGTAAATCAGTATAATGTGGAAAAACATCAGATTTATAAGTCTATTAAATTATTGTTTACATATTTTAATTACTTTCTGAAACTTATAATAAATTTTCCGGACGTTAAATGACTATTTATTTCGTCATTTTTGTCACATTTGTCAATTATTCACGACATTTGCTTGTTTTTCACCATCCAAAACATCATTTTGAGCGAAGTAATTTCTCTCACAAATGTTCACTGATTTGGCGGAAATAAGTTAAACTAATTTTTGTACGTATATTAGACTAACATACGTTTGTTTGTACAAAATGCATGTGTCAGGCACACAAATTTTAAAATTTCAAAACTGGATTTACTTCGTTAAATTAATTGTCAATTTCCAACAAATTAGTAACTAAGTGTTGTCACAAACTGGACGAAGCACTGAACACAACTCAATTGTAGAAAATCTTAAATCAATAACAAGCTTTAACCAGAGGTGCAAAGTTTTTTTTATAAATTTTGTAAGCAAGAAAATTAAGAAAAGAATAGAGCAATAATTTTTAGAGTGAAGAAATTTTTAAGATTTTTATTATTTCATTTCTAATTATATAACAATAAAATTTTCTAAAATCTTTAATAGCTTATTTTGTTTTCCTTTGTCAAAAATGAAAAGAGAAAATTTATAGAAAAAAATCTAAAAAAATTTTTATCAAAAGTTTTATTTTTTCAATTTCGAATTTCTTATCTAGTGAGTTAAAAGCGTGGCGTAATTTCGTTGCTAATGGAAATATCATTAAAAAAAATTACAAAAATATTTATATACATTCATACATTTATATCGTATGAAAAACAAAAATTAATTATTATAAATTATCAGAAATAGTCTAATTATGAAAGTATGTTTAGAGATAATAAAATAAAAGGTAAAAATAACTATTTAAACTATGTACCATTATTGTTACAAGCGCATTTTAATGTTTGAAGAAATGCCGTCGTCTCCCAAAGGACCAACTGTGTGTTCTCGAAAAAGAGTAAAAATTTTAGTTGTAAATTGGAATTAACAGTGCTAACTGTATACGAGTACTGAAATTTATAATGCCAAGTATACACTTTATGTCAAAATTGAGCATGCTATTGTTAAACAGTTCAGTTTTGCCAAGGGACAATTTTGAAATAATTCTGGTATAAAATTTGTTTATTAATTCCATTATTTGTTTTAAATAAAAAATATTTTATTATCTATAATTGCGAAAAATTTATTGAAAACACTTTCATAATTCCTGTTTTTTTTTCTTAATTTATTTTTCAGAACAAACAAAACGTCGAAGATTTCATCCGTTAAGAAATTTACGTAGAATATTTCGCCGTAGAACATTAACAAGTCCTATTGGTAGTAATGGTAATAATGATACATCATCAAATGCAACACAAAGTAATACAACAACACCAACCCATAATTCATCTTCAATATTACTTGAAAGAACTATACCAAATTTAACTTTATCATCACCATCATCGCCAGCTAATTCGACGACGATATCACCATATATTCTAATGAAAAGTCCCACCGTTCCTAATTATAGTACATCACAGCAACAGCAGTATATGCAAGAACATCAACAACAAAAACAAACTGTACCTGCGCTTTCATCATCACCAAAATTAATTATTTCTTCAACAACAACAACAGTACATCAACAACAAAATCAACAGCAACAACAATCATTAAGTGGTAGTTCGCGAAATAATATTGGAATGTCTGAACGTAGCCCGTGTGGTGGTGTTAAACTTTTACCAACATCAGGTTTTCCATTAAATTTTAGTCCATCATCGGATATATTTCATCATCATAAATTGCAACAGAAACAATTACAACAGCAACAACAATCTCCAACTTCTTCGATTAATTTAAGTATTAGTCCTCGTAAATGTGATAATAAAATTATAATGAGTAAGTCATCAACACCATTGGATTCAAATAGAAATAATGGTAGTAATATAAGTAATAGTAGTAACCATAATAATAATAATAATAACAGTAATAAAAAAGAATCAATGGAAGATTTAGATGCATCAGTAGTTAATGAAATTAATTGTGAAATGAATGATAATCAGAGGAGTTTCAGTGAAGGACGACTCATTGATAGGTGAGATTTTTTTATCAATTTTTCAAAAATTTTGAATAAAATTTAAAAATTTTCAATGAATTGAGAAAAAATCAATTGATTCAAAACAAAAAAATATGCGGTGTTGTCATGGTAAAAAAAAATATTTTTGTATAAACATAAATTTCATTCGAACGTTGACGTTTTTTTGACATAAAAGCACTTTGGTTGAATTTTAATGCAAATTCGCACATAAAATAATCTTCAAGTTGCTATAGAAGTAAATTTTTATCTTTTTTCGTTTTTCATATTCAAATCCAAAAAATTGTCAAAATGAGCAATAAAACTTGACTATTAAATACTTTGGATTTTTTGCATTTTTTTTATAGTCGGTGAAATATTAGCTATTGAAAAACACAAATAATTTTGAATTTTCGCATAACAAAAATTTCACAATTGCAAACAACCGGCCTCAATTCAATGACCTTCAATAACAAATCAAAGTGATTTTATGAAATTTGTTTTGATAAATTAAAAAATCATTTAGTTTTGTTTTAAAGTACAAAATGCTACTATGACGTACATACATAACTGTTAATATGACGTCGAATACTGGCTGGTGGAGTGGGTGCCCAGGAGGGACGCATTCCATGAAATTTATGGGCCTCTCGAAGGATCGGCGGGAGAGCTAATCTCATTAAGTTTTTCAGACTAGAAATTCGAGGTTGGAGTGCTCGCTGCACATTAGCTCTCTAAGGTTCATTTGAAAAAAAATGGGTAAGGTAGAGAATGAACTGTGTTGTTTGGATGAGAATGAAACGGCAGAGCATCTGCTTAGCCGTTTTCACCCGCTCACGACTGTAAGTGGACGTAATACTGAGATTCGTTAGGTGCCTGGAAAAAACGTCAAAAGATACTGATCTGCGCCAACAGACAGACAGGCAGACATCTCTATAAAAATTGTTGACTTACGCCTTCCTCCCTATAAATAGATTATTGTGTTTTCACCAAAAATTCGACATGTTAACATTGATATTCGGGTATAATTAAAAGTATTTGATTGACGTTTCGAAAAGCAACTAAGTATTTGATTATAAACATTGTTGCAAAAATATTATTTTGTCAACAAAAATCAGGAACAGCAACATTTCTCCATATTCCACTTTATTATTAAATGCTATAAAAATACATTATCAATTATACAAAATTTGTTTCTTTAATTAATAAGAAAATATTAAAAAATAAAATTTACTTAAAAAAATTAATTGTAAAACGGATAAAATGTGTCTGATTAAGAGATAAGTCAGTATAAATGAGATTTTAATAATATTTTGTCGCCGGAAATGATTAGAAAAATAAAACAAAAAACGGATGCTAATCAAAACCAAAGGAAATATCTTGGCACTTATACTTTAAATTTAAATTTTTCTATTTTTCAGTGATTTTACTCGTGATCCACTTTCACAGTCACATGATAGCATTTTTTCTGAGTCAGCAACAGCAAGTAGCTTATCGATTGTACTTAAGGTAAGTTAAATGTTATGCGATTTATTATTTAGTAGTAAAAAATAAGGTAACAAATGTGAAAAATTTTTGATTTGAAATATTTTCAATTTATTAGAGAGAGCACCTATATATAATTCTACCTACATGTATGTGCTTATTATTAAGATTAAGTTGTCAAAATTTCTTCTTCACTGAGTTTGTCTTATGGCAATTACTGCCATATTTACGATCGTTAAAGAATAAATTATATTCAAATTAGCCTTGTTGGGATGTAGGTGATCTAAATATACTCAATTATTACGTCCATATTTAGTATCCTAGTGTATTATTTAAGTTTTCAAAGTAGCTGATGTTAAGAGTACTTTGAGCACTCGTGTTCACCTTAAGTACTACAAAGCACTCGTGTCCACGTTAAGTTCTTAAGTAATTTTCCACTCATTTTGAAAATTGATTTTGAAATTTCTCAAAAAGTGCTCAATTATGGAAAAAATTCATTGCATACATACTTAAAAAAATAGAGTTACGAGAGTCGATATATTACTTTTAAATATATTCTACTCTTATGAACGAGTTTAAAAATTTTAATTTCATTTTTCAAGAAAACGAATAAGAAAATATTAATTTATCTTTTTCTTTTACAAAAAAAATTATCTTAAATTATCTCGTAGTCTTGATTAACTTCCTTATTTTTTTTTTCTATACGTAATTATATTCTTAAATACTTCCTTTATTTCTTCACTCTACATGTATTTTTCTCTTTCTTTTTCTCTAATTCACGGACTATACACGAATCAATTGGTTATTAAATGAAATGTAAACGATTTCAATAAAACCTTTTAAAAATTTTTTAAAAAATGAAAGAAAATCGAATAATAATGGCAATATTTTAAAGAATCTATCAGGCAAGAAAATTTCATCTGCTCTGTTAAAAAGAATTGAAAATAAACAGAAAGAAAAGAAGTATAGAACCTGTCCATTGAACCGATCGATTAAATTGCATTTATTATATAGTTTAGCTAAGTTTTTATGCATCTACCCTGGATAATAACTGAGTTAAATATTAATTTTGGGTAAATTTTAGAAACACCTAAAGAAAATAGTGATTCATATCCTAAACGATAAGGGTTAGATACACGCATCATGACAAACAAAATTAAATAAGTGATTGACGTTTAGTTGACATTAATTTGACAGTAAGTTGATATCTAATACATTTAAATTGACTTGGGTGAAAAAAATATGTTTGAAATAATTGAAGCTCAAAGTTCAAATTTGATTTCAAAGCACAATGTATTTTTTTTTATTTTATCGATAACTTCGGAGTTATGTGAGGTAGACTAATCTAAATTTGACATATAAATAAAATTGTAAAAAATAGAAATTTTAAGCAAATGTGAAAGCTTTCTTAAACTTAATTCACTGAATTAAATTTAGAGTTAATATTTGATTTTTGAAAAAAAATGCAACTTTTCAAATATTTCCACATAACTTTGGAAGTAGTTCAACTACATATATAACTAATTTTGACAGAATATAGTTTACGTTATAGAGAGCATAAATTTTAATAATGCCAAAAGTTAAAAAAATTCGACTTATTCAATTTTTACTTTTAATGACAAAACCAGTTATTCCTACATTACGCATTGACTTATATTCCCTTATATTAAAATTAATTTATCCTAAAAGTAGGCAATTTTACGTAATTTTTGAATTTTATTATTGTAATGGAAAAATGCATTTAATTCTTATATTTGGATATGAATTCAGCAGAATTTTATTAATCGTTCAGCCCGGTCAAAATTTCTACAAAAGAACTTGTTGCAAAGAGGAAAAGAGGAAACAGAAAGAATGTATAAGAAAATTAATTCTGTGATCTTGATATATCAACTTTTCAATATTAAAATATTCTTTTTTCGAACTTATAAAATATGAAATTATATTCCAAGAACCGGTTTTTTCTTATTCAATAAAAATATATAAGAAAAAAAAAATTTGCCATCCTTTAGTCGGTACACGTTGAATATTTTTATACAAGTATGTTATAACTTACTTACAAACGTATATGTGTATGTAAAAGATAATCATTTTATTCTAAATTAAAGACTGTAAGTTATAAAAATTATAGTGTTAATAAAATCATCATCAATCGGAACTATTCAATATGTAAGATTCTACAATTATGTTTAAAGAGAAGGCAAAAGAAATTTAGCTATAAAAATTAAGTTCATATTAAAAATCATATATAAAATACGTAGAACATAGTGGGGGAGAATGAAGTGATGGCGGGAATATATTAAAATATGTTTGTATTTGTTTATCATTCTCTTGTACTAGCATATATTTACGAATGGAATTAAAATGTTTGCAATGCCCCCTAAAATATGCAAAAGAATATTATAGTTGAAAATAATTATTATACCATCGCCTGCTCAACAAAGGACTTGTCATCCATCATCCGTGAATTCGCACAAATTATTAGGCATTACATTTAATTCTAATCACTTGCACTTTGTTTTGATTTTAAGATTATGTTTTACAGCTTGTTCAATAATATAAAAATGTAGTGTTTGGTACAAATTTAAATTGAAATTTCAAAAAGGTCATAAACTTTTCCGACAAATCAATATTTTTTCCATACATCTATGCATGAATGCTGCCGCCTATATTTTGTCTTCATATATTTATTTTCTTTAGTTTATTGAATAATAATTCACAACGCTTATGCATATATATATTGGCTATATACCTATATGTACGTGCTATATGTTAAAATCAATGTATACTCAAATTGGAAGAATAAAATTTTATTTAATAAGCGCAAAAAATTTTCTTTTTTAATAAAGTTATCGTGCATTTTAAATTTCTATTATATAAAATATATTTGTTAGAGTTCAAAATTTATTGCATTAAAGACTTATAAATACACAGGGTGTTTCACATAAATTTTGTAAATAATATCAAAAATGATTGTTTTAATCACTTCATTGTTGTGCTTTTTTCGTGCCCGTGTCTTGCCGAGAAAGCATCGAAATCCGTAAGAAGCTTAAAGCACAGATTTTCACAGCTGAAAACTCTGATAACGATCCTCTAAGAACAGAGTTGTAAGGAAAGTACCAAGCAGTGGAAAGGGAGATTAAGCGTAGTGTGCGCCGAAACAAGCGTACATTAACAACCTGGCAGTAACGGTAGAACACGCAGCGCTTATTGGTGATAGCAGCTTACTTTACAAAATTACTAAGAAATTGGTAAAAGGCACTCTTTCGACTCAACACCCGGTGAGAGATGGTAGTGGAAGCTTGCTACGTTCGGATGAGGAGGAAATTCGGCGTTGGATGGAGCATTTCTCTACCATACTTAATATCTTGACGGACGAAAATAAGGGACCAACGATATTTCTCTCCATAGAAACAAAATCCCGAATTAGATTCAGTACCCTCCGATTGGACAAAATAATTGCAGGTATCAAAGCACTTTCGAGGAACAAAGCTGCAGGAATTGACGGTATACCTACCGAATTTTACAAAGTCAACCCAGCTGCTTCGGCGAAGTTATTGCTTTCACTAATCACCTACAGTTGGGAAAATGAGACTTTTCCAAATGAATGGAAGGATAGAATCATCGTCAGAATACCGGAGAAAGGCGATTTGACGGAGTGCAACAATTGGACGGGCATATGTGGTCTGCCAACGGTCACGAAAATAATAGCAAAAATAGTTCTAAATCGCCTAAAGGATCACTTAGAAGACACAATCACCACAGAACAGCCTGGCTTTCGCGCGGGATACTCTTGCACAGACCACATTAATACTGCGCGTATCACCATTGAACAATACGTCGAATTTAGATCTCCGCTTCACATGATGTTTGTTGATTTTGAGAAGATTTGACAGTGTTCACAGGAACCAGATTTGGATGGCTCTACGCAAGAGGGGAGTTCCGGATAAACTAATTGCTATTATTAGGGCCAGTTACGATGACGCGAGTTGTCGGGTGCTACACAAGGGGAAACTGAGTGAATCATGCGCCGTATGTAGTGGCGTTCGGCAGGGCTGCATCGTATTACCGTTTTTATTTATTTTGGTGATTGGCGATATCCTATGCGTGTGGCGGTACGGAGGCCGTTATAACAACTAGGATCAATTGGGCCTCAATCACTTTTGGTATGATGTCCAATGTGTGGAGAAATAACAATGTAAGCCTTGGTACTAAGCTGAAACTATTTAACTCGACCGTAAGGTCTGTTTTGCTATATGGGTGTACAACGTGGAAAGTGACTGCGTCACTCACTTTTCAGAAAAACTGGATAAATGGATGTAGACGTCTTGATCGGGAGGCGTAAAAAGGAGTGTATTGGTCACACCTTGCGAAAGGCTAACGAAAACATTGCAAAGAAGACCTTGAAATGGAATCCACTCACCCAATCAGAAGTGTGGGTCGGCCCAGGCAATCATGGAGAAGAACAGTGGAAGCTGAAATGTCGGAGTTTGGTTACAGTTGGACGGAGCTAAATAACATCTGGACACTAGGCAAGTAAGTAAGTGTCTTGCCGCTTTTGGTAATTTCTTGATTTGTTGTTCCGTGTAGGTTTCACTCTAATGTCTGAGTTGATATTGCAACCTGTGCTCTGCTTACCGTATGGAGTTTATAAGAAGTATGGACCACATTTTTTTCAATTTGTGGTGTATAGCTCGAAAACAAACATAAATCTATACACCTCTCCTATAAACATTTATTATTTTCTACTGAAAATTTATCATAAAATCAATGCAGAAATCGTTTACAACTAGATGCGACACACCTTGTATTTTATTTTATAATTCTTTTTACTTACTTTAAAGCTTATGCTTTACCCGTATTTTAACAAAAATACATAATTACAAATACATAAAATGTGTTGTACATATGTAAGATAATATACCTACTGTTCATTGTTTTTGTTTCTTTCTTACTCATATAAAGTGGACCGTACCAGTCTCTGGAGTTTTGAACGAAAAAAAATTTCCTGTTGGATGAATCGATTT